AAACAAGTATTTCAGCGGGAGCTGAGCGAGTACGTTCTTGACCTCATTGCTATAAGAGAATTAAGCAAGCCTGCCATTCTCGGCAGAGCTCGTCAAATGCGAGAGCTCTTGAGATGAAAGTTTTTTCAGGTTTTCGTGGTGCATTGGTTTGCTCTGTGCGGGCTCTTAGCGAGCGCTGTTTACAGAGCGTGCACCGCTCAATGAGGCGCCATAGCCCCCGCCAAGTGCCGCTACTCAGGCTCAGGTACCCCAGTCCTAAAACCCGGAAAGTCCTCACATTGTAAGAAGAAACACAAAGTCAACAATTGGTATTGGAGTCGGCAGGAAAAGTTTGAAACAAATACTGAACAGTTATTTGTCTCTGAATGCTCGTCTGAATGATGAACCGCACTGTTACAACGTGACACTGCTTTAACTTCGAAGGTAACATACGATAGGGAAATTCTTAGATGAAAAGCAATAAATTTATTGTGAATATTTCTCTGCTGTTGAGTAATACGATAACTTGATTGCTTACCAAGAATTTAAAATCACAGAAAACAGCCAAAAATTCACAATTTCTTATGAACATATACGTTTCTGAGTCTAGATCTATCGTCAGTTCAAACACACAAAACATAATTACAAAAAACGGCGCATTATAATTATGTCGGCGTCAAAATAATAATAATTACATAATTATATTTATAATTATGTTACTATATTATAATTATAATAACTCTGGAGTTTGCACGACACATTAATTGATTCGATGAGATTTATTTAGTTGGAAGTTTGACGTCCGATCTTGCGCTCTGAGTTCAGCCACTTAGTCTTAAGTGTCTGACCCCAAACAATAAAGCCCCTTGTGAGATAAATGCGAACTCATGGCTTCAACTTTCGATTGATTTTGCATGTAGCTATTCCGAGATTAATCGTTTCAAAACGAATAATCTTACAGAGCATTTGAACCTTACAGAGAAATTCTAATTAGAGATAAAACGTGTGAACCAATATCAGAATGCCGTTCAGAAATGCCATACATCTCTCATGGTTAGGGACGTATGTCAACAAAAATAGAATAAAATCATATACATAAAATCATAGCCAAGTGATTGAAGAAGTCCTTCCTTCAGTCATTGTGAGAACATGATTTCTGACGCATTTTTGGACTAGTGAAAATAACACTGTGAATTTAATTAAGATTATTGCAGAGACTTGACACTTGTCAAGTTACAGTCTGTTACTGAGACTTTTGAAACAACAGTTAACCAGAAGTAAATACCTAGCAAAGAATTGAGTTGACATATATAACTCATTAATAACCGGCAAGACAAGAATCTAACTATTAAAATATACTTCTAAAATATTTGCACAAAATCGACAGGAATTACAAAAATATCAGCAATTCAAGACCTAATATCTACTATTTAAACTTTCCCTATTTATACAAGACGTACCATACACATCGCTGTCAAACACAAGACGAAACTATCTTTCGCAATTCGGCCAAGGTCACGTCAAACTCTCTCCGATTCAAATCAAATGAATACATTATCAGTTTAATCCCCAACAATATAATTGTGAGGTTTACACATCAGAAATTCATAATTATAATTTATTGTGTCCAGCGGCACACGTGAATTCCAACTAGTAGTTAGTCTGAAAATGATTGTCGAAATTATTTGTGGATTTCAAAATTGTATTCAATTATAAAAACCCAAGCGTTTTAAAAAAGACTAAGTTAAATCGCATGGAATGATGCCTTATGAGTTTAACTATCAAAATAATTCGTAAATAGTGAAGTTTATTGACACTTCATTATTGCACAGAATAATTAAAATTCTTAATTTGTGCTTAGCTGCGCAGGATGAGCGACAGCCAACATGGATACACTAACAGAAATTAGTGAAATTTTGTCCAAGTAGTAATCCATTTATTGCCTTTATGTGGCTCGTCCTGACCTAGTATTGTCTGGCCACATGGCGTATCAGTGATAGGTGCACTTAGTGTTTCACTATTAGGACAGCATGAGCCAGAAATTGATCTGAGTGTGTCTTGCAACGGGTAGCTCGTCTGCTGTCTGTGACTCGGCATAAATTAACGTAGGAACTTTTTTCAGCATCGACATTTAGCGAGGATTTTCGCAAACATTAATTTCCGCATTACGCAATGATTAAAATTTTTTTTTGTTTGACGAATTTAGGAATTTAGGCGTTTTTATAGATAATTGAACGTAAACAGAGTTGCTGGTAGAGGCGGGACGTGAACAGAGTTGCTGGTAGAGGCGGGACGTAAACAGAGTTGCAGGTAGAGACGGGACGTAAATAGAGTTGCTGGTAGAGGCGGGACGTGAACAGAGTTGCTGGTAGAGGCGGGACGTAAACAGAGTTGCTGGTAGAGGCGAGACGTAAACAGAGTGTCTGGTAGAGGCGGGACGTAAACAGAGTTGCTGTTAGAGGCGGGACGTAAACAGAGTTGCTGGTAGGGGCGGGACGTGAACAGAGTTTCTGGTAGAGGCGGGACGTAAACAGCTTCCTTGACGTAACCCCATAAGAAGATCTCTGATCTCGGTGGCCAGAAGTGTGGAGCCAGATCTTCATTTCATATGCATCCTACCTAACGCTCAGGAAGTGACTGATTTAAAAAGTTTCGGACATCAGGTTCCAATGGGGAGTTTGATTAGGTTAAGAAAGATTTGATTTCCAAAAATTTGAATTTCCATTGATGTAACAAAAATAATTTATAATGAATTTCTACTTGAATAAATACGAATTTACTACATTGGGTCCAACATTTATAATAACGCTGTATAATGATCAAAAATCATTCAATGACACAAAATTTAATGGGACAGCATGTAATACCGCGTTCATAGGCTGTGCTATTTTGTCGCCTGCCTGATAGTTAGCAGCGATCTGGAGTTTGTAATCGACGTTAATTTTCTGGATGCCCAATATCCACCGGTCATTGTGAATTTTGTTTTATTATTATATGCTGAGAATATAATTTATATTCTTTATGTAAATAATTATTAGAAATATTCCCCATAAATAGAAAAAAATCCGTGTGAGCACTTGCATTTAAAATTCAGTAAAACCACAATAAAAATTATCCACTTATATTTTCTGTCATGTTATTTTCTGCAGCGGCAAATAAAAATAAAGAAAAACACCTTTCGAGGAATGTTTCTCCTGAAAAATTTCCCAGTCATAAATAAATAATAACATCAAATAACGTGGCTTATGGTGGAACATGCATATCCAATTTTATGCACAGCTTCAGTCATGCGTGAAAAGGTATCTTAAATTTGATCATTTTTTCGGAGTTTCTAAAAAGACATAGCAGTGCGGCGTCTGACTGTAACATCTCTGCAAACGATAAAAAGTACGACTCGGATGTACGTTTCTTCTGATATCTTATCAGCTCTTGGTCGCTTGCTACTTCACTTGGGCATCGATCATTTTTCTTCTCACGCTGGATAATTTTTTCGCATGACATGTCGGAAGTAATTTTATGGTTATCTGTAATTAGAAAGAAAGATAATGAGAAGATCTGCGCATCTGTGAAAAGAAACAAACTGAAACAGAGAAACAATTTTTGTGTCAGATATAGGTTAGGCTCAAAACGAAATTTTATAAAATTTCATAGTTAATTTCATTGCTCTCACCAATGTATTCGTTCTACAGGGTTAGATGTTATGTGCATAATTGGCATGTGAGCTTCTTTATCGGACCCTTTATCGTGGCACATCATTCCAATATACTATAATTGAAAAGTACTTGCTGCCTACCTTTCATTTGTTTCCTAACACAAGTTAAATTAATTAGACGATAACATTTTTTATTGCAATAGATTCGCGTTTTTCTTCCTCTCTTTCGACAGCAAGAATTGTAGCGATACCCACGCTGCCAACCAATGAGCCACGTTCATCACCCTGCCAAACTTGTCAAGTACTTTGTTACTGGCGACTTTCGTGACACGCCTCCTGCGCAAGATAACCCTGGGTAACATTGCGAGACCTGTTGGAATTCTAAGGACTTCGCATATGAGTTAACTTTGATGAATAATTATTATCGAAGATTTATGAATGAATATAAATCTAAGTAATGCCGCATTCGGATATTTTATGCTTATTGTTTCAATTTATATTGATATAAAACTATAGAAAAATATTAATATTGATGTAATACTTAACAATTTGACTCACGAATTAGTATGGCATGTATTTTGTATTCCCTCGAAAAAATCACTCGTATTCCCTGTCCTACCCATAGACAATGATAATAGTATAGTAGTATAGTATAGTATAGTATCTTCGGCATTAAAGAATAGGCCTGGATAGGCCTGTCGCCGATTCTTGTACTTTTCTTGACTAGACTGGCCTTACGGACGTCGGACGGTAGATTTAAATACAATAATACACGAGTCATCATTTATATCGTAGAAATCAATCAATCATTCATTCATTTATTGAATTAACTTAGACAAACATTCCAAAAGTCTTTGCTGATGGCGACGAAATGATGGGGATGGTGTGCCGCAGTGGCGACTCGTAATCATAATGTGTGATGTCGGCGCTGAAGAAGAGGCGATTCCTCTCGCCGTTACTGTGGTAAGGACTCGTCTGGCGATTCAAATGGTGGAGTTTCCTAGTGCTGCATATATAATTGACAATTTTTAATTAAAATTTGTAAACTATGATTGAATTCATCAATAAACACAATAACTAATTGCACTTTGACATAACGATGGAGACTAAAAATATCATAGTTATTCATTCAAATATTCGTTTTTTGTGAGACTCATGTCATAGAAAATCTGATTTTCTCCTTTTAGCGGGAATACTACGATTTACGAGCATGGGAATGAATATCTAAATTTTCTCCAATTGAGAAAATGATCTCCATCAATGAATCTCAAAACGATAAAATTATTTATTTTTAATAATTCAAATCAATGAACATTTCCAAAGGAGCTCTGAAAGGACAGATAAGAAACGAAAAAATTATTTGGACAAAAATTTCAACGATAATTTTATTAAAAATCAACTAATCAGGCATGGTACAAAACAGCTAGTCTGTGCAATAGGTAAAGTATTTCATATCATAAAAATATTGTGTACATAGGAATAATCGTCAGGTAATCCTAAAGTGGAAATTGAAAATTTTCGAACAATCCGTTCATGAATCATTAATCTGTTCAATTCATCGATAATCTTCAAATGTTGATATGAAGGTAATCTACATTTCAATTATCGATAATCTCAATTCTTCATATTCGATAAGCTTCATTTCAAGATTCTTTTATCGCGTACATTTTACGAACAAATGATTAATAATAATGTCTAACTTTTCCATTGGTCAGGCATTAGTACAGAAATGATGTTTGACATAAGCTGTCAAGTTGTTTTTTAATTTGCATTATGAAAAGGTAGTGAATATTTGAATCGCTGGTAACGTTATATGCATTGTTCAAAAATTCATGTATTCGTCGATTCTTGCGTATACTTAAATTAAGTGAAGTATTATTCGATTAATACGTATATTATCATGAATATGCACGCATGAATTTTATGGAGGTTCCCAGCAAATCAATGAATTATGTCAATTAATATCATCTTAATTGAATTTGCCCTCCTGTTCCTATATTGAATTGGACTAACAAAAATTATATAAATTTTCATTGCAGAATAACATAGTGAAATAAATTTATTATTTAAAAGAATTCAAAAATGTTTCACCGTATTAAGCTGCAAGAATTACATTCGGTGTTTGGAATATAGTATACGTAAATCTGAATAACCTAGAACAAACAATGCTACTAAGAAGGACTAGAACGATATAGGTAGAGTTAAATCAAAGATTATTGAGTATTTATAAAGAAAAACTGCTGGAAGAACTTAAATTTTTATCGAGATATCTACTCGACGTTGTCAGGCATGTCAGAAATATTGAGAGTAATCATGCCTAAGTTCTCAAAAATAAATTCTGTTCAATTAATATACCTTGCACTTTGCTTGTATTTTATCTTCAAAACCAGACAATTGATTAGTGATTATATAATAACGGCGAAAGAATAACGGTGTGTTAACCATTTAACGAACATTGATTTTAATCATCTAAAAAAACTTTTTGAGGCGAGAGATCGAATAAAAATAAAGTATACCGTGCGCTCGCCAATGCCCGTCAATCGTAATACTGTAGTTCAACCACAAAATTGTATAAAATTACAACAATCATCGAGTGATTTACAATTAACCGACCTTTAACTAATTTTTACATTATGATCTCTAAACAGATTTGAATAAAAACTCGAACTTGTATGAATACAAAATCCCGATATCACACTATTGCCCTGGGATGCTTGATAGGCGCTTCTTTCTCCAAGGATCCGCAAATTGTGTCAACAATGTCGGCAGCTTCGTTGACTTCGCCGGACAGTTGCTTTTTGGACGGCAGGGTTATGCTTGAATCGCTTCCGGAGTCGCTGGAATCGTCCGCATTTCCATCCATCAACGAAATGACGCTCTTGGCAACACCTTTGAAAATGAAGATGAAGTAGGCGGATCAGAATTACAGATATGTTCGAAAATTGTGAACTTTCAAAATCTAATTTCTGAGAAAATATTCAAATAATCACAGAGAAGAAGAATTCGTCTTCATTCCAAAACCAGGCAGTCAGTTACTCAGGGGAGCCCAGTTATTAGAATATGTTACAATTATCAATCGAGAGTATTTATTACCATGTTTGAGTAAAGTCCATTCAATGATAGGCAAGGGATTTAAATCAGGAGCAAGGCTTGAAAAGGGATCTAGAATACACGGGTGAATTTGATTGGAGACTTGGCTCGAAACTAAACTAAAGACTATAGGCTGGATTGAGATTTAGACTAGTCTCAGAGCTACGCTCAAACTTTCATTAACTTAAAAAAAAAAACAAACCATAGATGCGATAAAGAATTGAGTTTAATATGATTATCTATAGCATGATGCAGCTTCTATCAAGCCTAACTTATTTCGTAACTACTTCTATAACGTATGACCGTGTAGAAATGAGAGGAAACAACATATTTAGACGTGCTCGGCCAACATTTCACTGCATAACCAATGTCTATTTAACCCTAAGAACAAACCTTGCGCATCAATGGCGTACAAAATACTAGCATGCGTTTGGTGATTCGGCTCGGTAGGCGTTGGAATATGTCTAAAACAAAAATGAAAATTTCCACGTTTTTTTTTCTCTTTACGCCATAACTTATGTGGTTCTGAGATTAGGGTGCTAAATAAGTATTAACAATCAATTTTATTTCAAAAACATGAATAAAGGAGAAGGATGGTATGAGTTACATTGCTGACAATCATAAAAGCTGTGTAATGTGCAAACAACTGCATAAATTCAAATAAGTAAATGCGTGAATGTTTGTTCCTGGTAGTATGCCTGAAAATATAATTATTCCATCGTTGCCACAATTGAGTTATTCCAAACATACAATAGACGAACGTACCTCTGCGTCTGTGGACTTTAATGGGTATGAGGGCGATGGTTGTGATGAGACCCACGACGCACGCGCCACCACACGCGTAGAATATCACATCGCGGTAGTACATGGGACTGTAACACGTCATTAGTTAATATTAGTTAATATTACGTCGCGGTATTACAAGGGACTGTAACATGTCATTAGTTTATTGTGTTCCAGGCAAAGTCTGAATGTAATTAGCATGATCATCGAGGAATAGTTCACCATAGGAGTCTAAATTAACAAATTTAGACCTACATAAAATTTACCTTACATAGTGCTTGAAAATAACTAAGGCAGGGAGACATTCTTGAGGAGGTTCTCTACTGTGGCCTTCAGTCTTATTAGCGCTCTCGGTATTCACTATAATTTTTTTATAAGGTATGCACGTATAACTAATTCCTCCATCATTAAACCTCAGATCAAATGCAAACTTAATGGATGGTCATCGATTTCGAGGATTTTTATTGGCTTACAAATTAATTTAAAATCCATTTATTCTCGATTTTCTAAAATATTTGTAGCCTGAAATGTTCCTGTTTTTTTTTATGCTGTACCATTGTGCCGAACTAAAATTTGAATAATAAATATTTTTATAATTCATAATGTAGTAAATATCATATAATTCATATGAGAACGAGTTGATTTCCACTCACTCTCCGGTGTTGCTGTCCTGGATGATCATGATGATGATGCCGTTGCTGAACTTGTCCACGAGGCTCATGAGACCGTACACGAAAGCCCCGCCTTCTGTGTTATTGCCGATCAGATCAGCCGTGATCGACAGCGAAGTTATGAGGAGGGTCGACCCCCCAGACCCCAGCAACACCGCCACCACGAAGATCCCCCACACCTTGAAGTAGTCAGCGTACTCGGGGCCCGCCGCGTAGGTCCAGGTGCACCCTAGCAGCCCGATCACGCAGCCCGTAGCAAACGTGCCCTGAGCCATAGGATCGCATCGAATAGTAATAAATAATAGTATCGGATAGTAATAAATAATAGTATCGAATAGTAATAAATAATAGTGTTGAATAGTAATAAATAATAGTGTTGAATATTAATAAATAAAGGTATCGAATAGCAATAAATAATAGTATCGAATAGTTATAAATAATTGTATCGAATAGTTATTTGTAATGTGATTAACAATTTTTACCTTATATTAGAGCAGTCTTACTACAAGGAAGGCTACGCCGAATCATTGATGTGATTGATATGTGTACGCAAAAAGGAATGACGCAGTTGATATCTTTCTCAGGTGGTGCCAGTCTTACTATTCAGTATGCCGAATGGATTTGTCTTATGTTAAACAACAAAAAAAAATGTAACTCAGTACTCACTGCAGTGAGTGACAGAGAGCGCATTTTCTCGTCGACGAAAACGTGAAGTCACGGACGGACAGACAGACAGACTGACAGACGGACGGACGGACATGACGAGCACCATTGGGCATTTTTTCCATAAATGAGGAAATGCGCTAAAAAGGTTAATACAAACCTTTCTCCCTATGACTTTATTAAGCTTCTTCATTACTAAAGAGCCAAAGAATCCAGCGAGGTACATCGTGAACGGTACGGTGGCAACAGCTGTTTTGGCCAAGCAGATTGTGTCTTGCACGAACAGCGGGATGTATACCTGGTAGATAAAAAATTGTGGTTATAGCTGGTTGAAATTTTCCTGTAAATTCATGGAACTACTCATAAGCTTTGCGAGAGAATTCTAGAAAATGCTTTCCACACCTGAAGAAAAACTTCACTTGTCAAATAACTATTAACAATCGTAACAATACGTAACGATAAACGCAGCTAACAAATTTCCTGTCGACGATAGGTGTGAATGCTATGGACCAAATGTATGGTCGATGTTAACATTATATATGATGTTTATTAAAAAAAGTGGGAATAAGCATTCATTTAGTAATTACTTGATAGAGATTGACATAGAGGCGAGTCGCCATGTAGAGCACAGCGACCAGGTAGAATGGGAATTGTTTGAACCAGTCAATCTTCCTCATCCTGCTGCCGCTGCCCTCCCGCTTCTTAGGACATTGAAATTCTGGTTCTTTGACGCCGACATGAAATATCGCCGAGAAAATGAGACCCAACACCACGCATACGAGGGCGATAGTCTGAAAAAATGCAATTATGAGAGACGAGTGCAAGAACTTAAGTTTATAAATAATTTTCGCGGGAAAAATTTGTGTTTTTGGATCACTACCTTGTTTTCAAAGCATTATAATTCGACAAATTTCAACAGTAAAATAAGAGATTGAAAACTAGAGCTATATGAACGATAGAGGCACCATGAACCTTCAGTATAAATTTATTTTCGCTTAAATTTGTAAAGTTTTTTTAGGTACTCTCTGGAACTATATTTGACACGAAACACGATTAATTTCTTTCCTCACAACTTGTCGAGATGGCTGGTTCGAAAAAGTTTTATTTCATCCTAAACTTGTTGAGATCGCTTGGTTCCAGGGAGGCTAGAGTTTACCCTACATTTGTTGAGACCGTTTCGTTCTAGGGAAGCTAGAGTTTACCCTACATTTGTTGAGATCGTTTCGTTCGAGGGAAGCATGAGTTTACCCTAAATTGTTTGAGATCGCTTGGTTCGAGGGAAGCTAGAGTATACCCTACATTTGTTGAGATCGTTTCGTTCGAGGGAAGCTAGAGTTTACCCTAAAATTGTTGAGATCGCTTGGTTCCAGGGAAGTATCGCTTGCAGAACACGAGCCGTTAATGCTGATTGCAGAGTCTGGCACTGACGTAGAGGAGGTCTTCCAAATGCTGTCCATGGCTGGAGTGGACATGGAAGAGTCGCCATCGCTCGTGGATCCAGATCCCAAAATGAAGAAGGTAATAGTAAAGACACTTAAGTTTGCCAGCACCGTGAAGGCGTATCTGTAAAATTTTAATACGTTAACGTCACATTTTAATACGTCAAATTTCTATACGTCACATTTTAATACGTCAAGAATAATGAAACCTTGGCCAAACTGAAACAAGGAAATATTTTCTGCGAAGGCAGCATACAAATTTTAAGCACTGCATCGAGTGTGCCCTAATTCACAAAAAATCACGATTAAAATTTCATTAAATAATGAATTATTTGAACGTAATTAAACGAAAGGAAATTACCTAATTGAATTTAATTCTGTTCTCAAACTTTTCTTCGGCGTAAGATCCGGGATGAGAGCGAGATGGGAAATTTGGACGGAAGCCCAGCCGAACTGGAAGACGATAACGAAGCAGCAATAATAAATGCTCTGCGCCGTCAAGCTTGCGTCTTCCAGGCCGTACGCCGGCGAGAAGATAAACGGAAAGCTGATGGTTACACACACCGTGCCTGGAATTATTGATACGACGTTATTTTAAGTTATAATGAGTGCAGGGGTAACAATGTTCTCTGCCTCAGGTATTTTTTTTCAACCCATTTTTTGATTCAACAGATAGACCTATTGTTGATGTGACATGTGGATTTATTTTATACATTTGCTCTAGCTCAGGTATCATAGCATTTCATGAATAAAAACATACCTCTTTTTGAATGCGATATGTCAAAGTATAGTTCGAATTTTCTCTCCCTTAATTATCATATAACTTTATTAACAAACTGAGGAACGCATTTTTAATATGGTATTTCAAGTTATTGTACAAATAGGTCTATCAAACATAACTTATCATTTTACGAAATAGATGATGAACTAATTTGTAATATTGTATAAGAAAGGCATCTTGTATCAATAATACATAAAGAGAGTGATTCAATTGTTCCTATTCTCAATCTAATTAGCTTCTACCTTAACCTTATTTTATCTGGTTTAAATTGTATGCATGTTTATGGTGCGTTCCCACAGTTTTGAAATTACAGAACAAACATTGAAATTGGGATAAAATAATGAAAAATATAATTAATTTTTAAATGTCATTTAATAAACAAGGAAATATTCAAAGGATCTTTATACCAAATTGAGGCTCTTTTTAACCCGTCCATACAATAATTATTAAAAAATATACCTCAGTACTCACTGCAGTGAGTGACAGAGAGCGCATTTTCTCGTCGACGAAAACGTGAAGTCACGGACGGACAGACAGACGGACGGACAGACGTACATGGCGAGCACAATAGTGCATTTTCCATAAATGAGAAAATGCGCTAAAAAGACTAAAGTTACTTAAAAATGAAACTTATGTCCCATAGATCTAAGCAATTTTTGTTCCACATGTTATAATTTTTCAGGGTAGTTATCCCTCACCTACAAGATGCCATATTTTGCGACGACCGTAGCGAGCACAGGCGGGGATCTTGTTCTCCATGTCGGATAACACCCCGACGATGGGCGTACTGATGCCGTCTGCCAGCTGTCCGACGAGCAGCACCACACCCGCCAACGTGTCGGGAAACAACAGCACCTGAGTGACAAGAAGGTGAATTGTCTTTTTAATTTAAATAAATACTAATTATAAAATGAAATAAATACAAAATTTAATTTAATAATTAGAGAAGTAATAAATTTAATAAACATAATAATTTAAATTAAATTACTAAACCAGAAATTATGGTCTACGTGGCAGGTTTTAGTTGGTCATTTAAATTTGGAGAACACAAAGCATAATTATATGAAAAAATTAATAACTTTACTAGAGGCACATTTTTGAGTGAACAGTTTAAATTTTTCCAATGTCATCTAAAACAGTACAAGGCACAGGCAAGTGTAGTCTGTGGGACAAACACTTGCCACTAACTGTACCAATCTTTCTGGTCTTAACCTTTTGGCTACCCTAAACCTTCGACAAGAGCGTCATCAAATTATTCATATCATTCTTACTGTATCGAAGTTAAATGCAGGGTAAGGTTTCAATTGGTTATTAAGTCTTACTATTTTAATACCCACCTTTTCAAAAAATAATAGGAGATATGAGAACCACATGGAGGCGCAGAGGTCGTTGAAGACGTGGCCGACGCCATAGCAGAATTTCTCAGTTAGGGTCAATGAAGGAACGCTGTCTTGGCGCTGCCGCAGAAAATCTGACCGGAGGTTCGGCTCCCCGATGTTCAAATTTTGGGGTTTATCAGGACACTCAGACTCCTCCATGGTGCTCATAGACTCCCCTAACTTAGATTTGTCTGTGCTGTTTATTTCTGGCATTACTACACTGCCTTTTATTAGTCTCTGTAAATGGAACGAAAAATTATATATGTCTGAAATCTTGCTCGAACCTGCTAAGTTGATTGCAAATCTATTCGAAAATTGTATTAGCTTATTACTTATTGGCTTAAAATAACTCCAGTAATTTAACAATCAAAACAAGACGAGTGACTGGAAGATCGCATGTAATATAATAGTATTAAGATGTCTCTGCGGCAAAATGTTAGCCAACAATTGTGTTAAGCCACTTTCAATTCATGACAATTTTCCTCTTGATAACAAGTTTTTCTTTTTATCTACACGACATGAAAACTGGTAGCATAGATTTTTTCCGCTCGATTATTGAGTGGTAAAAATTGATCAAGCCTTATTGTAGTTATTTGCAATTGGTACTATCTAAAATGAATCAGTAATTCGTGTAGTAAAACTTTCAAATGACCCATAAATAACAAGAAGTAGCTTGCCCGAACATTCGGAATCACGAGAATATAACTTGGAATGTTTAAACAATTTTTTGATCTTCTCAGCGCAGCCGATGCGCAGTAAACGCACAAATGGCGTCACGGGCCTCTTAAAAGGAAAATATATATTTTTGCATTTTTATTTCACTGAACAAAAATGCCACAGTTCATCAGATTGCTGACAAACACAATTTCCTCGCTTGATCGTTGTTTTTATTTGAATAAGATATTGCTTCTCTGTAAGATGCTGGTCGTTGCACCGGTTTACAGTGACTGCTGCTGTGGGGGTCACGCTTGCCAAACCTTGTTGTGGTTCATTTCTTTTAATAGTATTTTACATGCGTCGTTGCTAAAAAAGTCATTCAATACAACCGCGTCAATTTGTTCTTAAATGTTTCTGGTGATCTTGAATCTAGATAATAAATATTGTTGATTAATAAAGCTAGCAGAACCGGTTGTCCTATTGAAATTTGGGGACTCTGCTCTTTATTTTTGAACCGTTTAAATATAATTCATGTTTAATTATCTATATTTATTATTTCTTGGCATTGTGGCCAACTGCACACGTGCTTGAGCTGTGATCAGGGACGCATTCGTATGCGTCACAAGAGGCACCACAACAGAATGAATAAGCTGCATATATGGGGCAGATTAAACGCATCTCAACGCATTTCGGAAAAGTTGAAGAACTGCACATAAAATAGACCAAACTGACATTGGATTTTGGTCGCGCATTGAGACTGCCATTCGACAAATGCACGCTTTCAGTGGCATCCTACATGATTTAAAAAAAAAAGACGACGAAAGTCAGACATTAATATACTTATATACCAACTTGCTTAATCTGAATATTCAATCGCGATCCTAGATTTCTGAATAATGAATTCAACATTTACATAATAATTTAACTTGTTATTTCATTAGTTTCTATATAAAAATTTAAGAATGTTCTATATTGGTAAATAAAAAAATAACAAGATAACGAGATGAATATTATGCATAGTGTATGCACTCATGCAGGCCAAGTGCATGAGTGCCGTGCTATAGGGCAGCTATACGACTTTTTCATGTCTGTGACTCACGCCTCTAGTGACATTAAAAACCGAAGCAGTCATATATGTAGAACCAGCGACCAGTGAAGGGCCGCCTCAGAAAAAGTGAATGTTTTGAATGGAAATGTATTAAATGTGATTACGAGGCATGCATCGAATCGGATCATGCAATGGTACTTTGTATGACAAGTTGTACATAAAATTCTCCTACTAATTATGGTCATGCTACCATTTAAATGTGAACTAATTTGGACAAATTCAAGCTAAATATGAATTCGAGTGCATTAAATAGTAAATAATTACTTCAAACTGATGCTGGTCACTTCTGTTGCTAGTCACTTCTGTAACTGATGCTGGTCAATTCGGTTGTCAAAGCAATTACCAGAATTAAAATTCTGGAAACAATAAAATCATATATTGGAACAAAATAATTTTGTTTGCAAGATATCCATTTCTAAGAAATTCGTTATCAAATAAAAATGTTTTAGGTATAAGCTAAGCATGCATTCATTTGCACGAGACAAAAATGTTCATTAGTTTTCTATTAACGCTCATAAATATTACAACTCGAGTCTCACTCCCGAACTAAGCTTTAAATCGTGCTGAAAATTAATGCCATCTACTGGACTTTCACATTATAGTGTATGAAGTAGATTTATTGCGAGCGATCGTAGAATAGTTATTTCATCAAATGTAATAAGCGGAAAATAACTAATTAAAAAGATGAAAATCCAACCAAGGACTGAACTCAGTTACATCTTATGCGCAATTGATAATCTCCTTGGACTCGCGCATATATATGTGAAAACCTGTCACTGCACTAATTTTGCACAAAAACGGGCGTACCGTTTTTGTACAAATGTTTCCGTCGTTTAATTTAACGGTAAGTAACCGGCAACTCTAATGCCGGTGGGAACGTTTTTATTACGGTCCATTTTCTAACAGTGTATTTTCGGTGAGACTTCAAGAGCTCATAAGCGAATTTCAGCGATCTCAATGCGTCAAAACGAAATCCCGGAGTGCAAGCAAAGAACGCGCGTAATGAGTAGGAACAATGCATCCATACTATATTTCGCATAGGCCCTAGGTAGAGAATTTTTTTGGATGAGACTAATCACTGCCGCTGTTATGACCTAAGCATGAAGAAAAAAGTTTCGAAGAGAAACTTAACACAATCGCAAGAACACTTTCAATAATGAAGAAGAATATACATTGAATAGAAGATGCCCACGGAAAGATTATCAAAAACATAAGGGATGGAGACTCGGCTGCACACAATAAATAAATTATGTCGGTACAAAGCTTCACCAAACACACGCAAAACATCACCGAACCAAGGAACTGTACGGAGTGTCCGGCGTTACATAACCCAAGAAATTAAGCGTGTGAAGACATCGACGGTTACGTACGGTATCACAGAGCCGCAAAAAAGAGGGATGATAACAAACGGCAGATTTCGATCCACTCAATCAAGGCCATTGAGATAAGCTGGCATCAGTCCTACGCAGGGGCTTAAATGCGCGACCTGTGCGTGCGAGACGCGCATCTCTGGCGTAGACCACAGGAAGTGGCCGCGGTCAGGCCATGTATAACAGTGAAGACTCTACTATATATGAACTAAATACGATCCGTGGCTGGATCCGTATGAGGAAATGTTTGTATGTGGTAACAATATTTTACATAGAACATCATTGCCTATTTTATACTGCCTTCGCAAGTTTTTTAGGATTGTTCTTAGAAGCCATTATGCATTACCGTATTGGAGTTCAATGTGTATTAACAAAATTATATTAAAAATAACACCAAGAAGCAAAAAAACTACGTTGTATTTTGCATCGATCACCCACTCAGAGGAAGTGGCCGAATGTTAAGAGGAGAGAACTTACACTGTGAATAGAAAATGGGTCATGAGACCAAACTGAAAATCGGCTCGAATGCAGAGACACGTTCATATGCAGCGGCAAGAAAAAAAAGATCTTGCATCTTTTTTTTCGCATCTTTTTTTCGCATCTTTTTTTTCGCGTCTTCTCGCCTATACTTTCAAAAAAGTTAAGAGATCGTAAGTTCATCAGCCAATCATAGACGGTATTTCAAGGAAAATCACCAATCATAGACAAGAAAATAGAGCGTAAGTACTTACGTTCACTTAGCGAGTTTTGAAAGTATTATACCGCTGGTTCGTATCTAGAAAAGTTCGATGGGAGAAGCTTTCGTAGGTCGAGGTATAACTATATATATAAACATACTCCATTGATCGTGACAAAATCTGTATTGCTGAAACAATTCTATTTTGTGGATTTCATCAGACCTACTTTGCGAAACATGCAAACTAAATTGACACACATTAAGCAGGTAGAGAATTTGGAGTATTAATTATTACGAGAGATCAAAATGAATTTCGAATAAATCAAAATGAGATTTATTCGAAGAATGCGAGCAAATTATGTGCGCATTAGTGGAATTTATTCTAGTAAATAATTTAGAATATAATTCTGACTTTTATTGCAGACATCAATAAAACGAACAAACTTATAATCAGTATTTGATCAGTAGCATAAAAATTAAATTGTTTTAATTTATTTTGTGTGACCTATAATAGCCGGGAAATTATAATTATAAATCCCTGTAACTCAATGACTTTCTATTAGTGTTGAACAACCATTGTTGACCTGCAAGATACCAGATAGATTTGGATATTAGACAGACATAAATACAAGACATAGATAAATATAAGATTGATATGCATACAAGATAGATTCCGATACGAGATAGATAGGCCTATCGATACATATTATATAGATATACATACAAGATAGATATCGATACAAAGATAGTTCAAGAGAAAAAAACCCTAGGCAGAATAGCTCTGTATGGCGGCTATCGGCGAGCACCCAACTCTTTAGAAAGTGCTCTAGAGTACATTCGGTCGTACAAGAGATTAGAACATTCTAACATACGAAAATTTAGAAGTTTTTTAGGAGCTCGTTGTGACAAGATTTATCGTGATGCAATAGTATAAAATATAGATCAAAGTAACATTCATGTTTGAACACACCTAGTCTCGACAATATTGTGGCTATTTTAGACAGATGTTTAATAGTTGTGTGCCTTGAGATTTGTATGAAAGAATTTAAACATTATAGTAAACAATTTATCATCACAATCGCAGGTGCGTTACAAATCAAATGAATGCGAAAGGTATTTAAGACAAAGAAAATTTATCAGACTTTGCACAAAACTAAGTTCTTCATTATTGCCAAGGGAAAGGGGCGTGTCTGAAGCATAATTTGAACTTGAAATCGGTAAGATAACGTGGCAGCTTAATTGTGAGATACGTTGCCCACGAACGCAGTCTTCGTAATGCAGGGTGATTCACGGAAACTTTTTGATATGAAAGCTATATGAAAAAATTCGATCAGTACTCACTGCAGTGAGTGACAGAGAGCGCATTTTCTCGTGAAGTCCGTCCGCGAATTCGACGGACGGACGTAGGACGGACGTACATGACGAGC